AAATTTTGACATATATATAAGCAAAACCTGATTTATCAATGCTATTATCAATGTTTTAGTAATACTGGAAAAGTATACCACAGTAATGAAAGTAATTTTCATCATGAAATGAATAATTTCCGCTTAAAGATGCAGCACACTGGACGCAGGATGTTAAAGGTTGTCAGCAGGGTAAGCAACGTGCCACTTAACCAGCTTGTTAATATTCTGGTCGACAGGCACATGGACTCATGTGAAAAATGGGCTAAATCCATTTTATCTAACTCACACCACCCTCTTCATTCACAACTCTCCCCTTGCATCTCATCAGCCAAAACCACAAGCCTATACAGAAAACTATATGCTCGCACCAGCAAGTACAAAACTCAACCATACCCTACTTAGCTGGTGTTCTGTGCGATAAAGAAAGCATTAGGCGTGACACCTATAATTCATTAAATAGTCAGTAGAACAACTAGATCTCGTCTTTCAAACTCATATCATTTGTAGGTACAACGTTTTCTTTCTTTCTTTTCCTTTTCTCTCTCTTTTTTCCGTTATGTGCTGCTTTTTTCCTTTCTCTCGCTTACGCCAGTAAATATGATAGCACCTACTTTTCTAACACCTTCTAACACTGTTCAGCTTTAGCTTTTCTACCGACATGCCAATATGTTGCTGTCATAATGAACTGAGATTTCCTTAATCTATTTAGAATTCTATTTATTGATAATGTACTAACTGGATGCAATACTGTAGTAAAAATGCTGAGAATTCCATTCTGTATCACAAGTACTGTTTTGGAATAAAGCAAATTATTATTATTATCATTATCCGAACATCATGACTAGTGTAGAGTATGCTACCGTACGCACTCTGGATAGAAATTTTATATGTCGTGACTTTGTCTTACCACAATCAGTGTAGGGTACCTCAGATAAGTGTCTATGTTAATACCTTTGGATAAAATATCCTCACTTGTTTTTGACAGAAAATCATCAAAGATTTCCAAGCTGTAGTTATTCGTTTAACATCGAGTAATAATAATAATAATAATAATTTGCTTTATTCCAAAACAGTACTTGTGATACAGAATGGAAGTATATAAGTAAGTATATAAGGTTGTCAAACTGATAATGAAACATCTGTCAACAGACCCCGTCGGTGGCACAGTGGTTAGGACTCTCGCCGACCATGCACATGGTTTGGGGTTCGATCTTCTGCCGACGCACACCTGATATCTATGGTCGGCCTGAAAAATTTGGGCTACCGATATCATATGCTGAAAATTCCATACCTGTACCAAAATATAGGGTGTGGAATCAAGCTGTAATTAAAAAAATGCACAGACGGCAAAGTTAAATTTTAAGCATCACTAACTACCAATCAGTGAATTACCTGGAATGCACCAATCACATGAAGGAGGCATTTTTGGTTAAGGAAAACATTATTGATATAAGTATAAAACTTGGGCACTGTGGTAGAGTATAATTCCATAATGGATAAGAATTTATTTTGATAAATCACACAGTGTAGTACAGTTATATTAACTGATGACGTTTCGAGCACAAACTATTGCTCATAATCATATCAAGTTGATATCATCATATCAAGTTGATATCATCATATCATATCAACTTGATATGATTATGAGCAATAGTTTGTGCTCGAAACGTCATCAGTTAATATAACTGTACTACACTGTGTGATTTATCAAAATAAATTCTTATCCATTATGGAAGTAAGGAAAACATGTATTTATGAAAGAAATGCCTACAAACTGCTATATAGAATGCTTTTCTCTGGCATGTGATAATAGCATCTTCCAGTTCAACATAAGAGTATCAGTTCAAAAGTTACATCACATTCTGTACATATACTCATCTAAATGACTATAAAGGACATTCTCTTGAGATCCGTTAACGGCTCTAATCCTGTTTTTTAACCTTCCCCATAAGCCTTCTGTAGAATTGGTGTGTGCTGGTACCACTGAACTATTTAAACGGGACTATTTTCAGTTTCAGCAGCTTTACCTCTCTTACAGGCTATTTTAAAACCCAGTAATTACAAATATACAAAGTCTGGAATAAGGACAGATAGGACCTGGCAAAAAATATGTTCTTCCAAAATGTTGGAATTATCACCTTCCCTTCCCTCACAATAACTAACTCGTCTTAAACAAATTGCACAACGATGCACATATCCGTCAACTGACCTAATGAAGCTTTTTATACTCATGACACCGCCACATGAACAAATCCTTCCCTTCCAAAGCAACCCTATATCCAAGCAATACTGGAAACTGCTTGTCCTCACCAAAATGGAATTATAACTGCGTTAGAGCGGGCATTTGACTCGAATCAAGCGGAATAGAAGCTTCAACTCACGTGGATGAAACGCACTAGACTATTCAAGGTCATTCGCTGATTGGTAGTCAGTGGCGTTTGAAGTTTAACTTGGACTCACAGACATATGCAATGATATCAAAGACGAAGCAGAACAGTTATTCCACCATTGCCCCGCCATTTACCTTTGTCTCCAAATCAAACATATTCGAAAGACACATATGAAGAAGGTGTAGCATAACAAGTTCCACGTGTGAATTATGATCTGAAAGCGCTTAGTTTTAAATTTTTAGTGAGAAAACAGATTTTGTACTCATTTTGTATATTATATAAACTCTGTTGTCGATGGACTAGTTGAACTGAGACTTATTCACATTGACCTTATAAACAGAATATTATTACTTTTCAAATTTATATAGATAAAGAGAAATATAGAAGAAGAAAGGCTACTTCTACCTATTTTTCGATCATAGAATATCACCAATGATATTCCATAGGAATAAAAGTAAAGCATGCCACCAAGAATTTCATGAAGTTTAACACGTCAATAGGAAAAAGAAAATAAAGCAAATTCAACGATATTCCCTTTCGTTTGGTTAAATGCAAACATTGAAGTGTATCCAGTGGACTGAACCCGATTAAAATATAAAAAAAACATGGAACTTGTGTTTCAACGAAGTTGTAGGGATATGTCAATTATAAAATCTTGAGATTTCAGTTGTTGGTTTTCAGGGAATGATTTGATTGGTTACAGGATGGATCGAAAGCTGATATCAGTTAGAGAAGAACCACTGGAAAACCTACAGGGAGTACTGGAGAGTCTTTTCATCCTAGCCTGGCGTACACCCACCCAGGGACTTCCGATTACTAAGCGAACTGGTAGACCATTCAGCCAATTGGATCTCAACCAGTGGTCAATGAATCTTGAGATAAAGAGCCTAGCATTTTTGATGTGTATGGATGTGTGCATAGAATAGATTTAGGTATTCTGATCTCAATAGTGTTCATGAGAAAAGACGATTCATTAACTTTATAACTGTAATGATTACTTTGATTAGTTGATTCATCAAAAACCAACTGTTTTTATTGAACACTACTAGTAACTAGTGTGACGTGTCTCGTCCTTTCTTTTTGGTGCAGACTGAAATCTACCAGTCAGTCAGGTATGTAATATGGCCACCATTCTAGGTAGCTCACCATCACGGTGCACACTGATTCGATGATATTAGATGGTTGGAGGTAATCAGCAGGAAGCCTTAATTGCCCGAATAGCACTCAGTGACGCGGGTTTGAATCTCAGAAGAGACAATGAGTTCCTTCGAGGTTGCAAATACGCCTTGCTGACTGACTTGTGAGTGCCAACTAGCACGAAACCTAGGTCCAAGGTTAGGCTTCCTGTAGCCGATTGCCTCCAGCCATCTTATATCATCAAAAACCAACTGTGTTTGTATCTTCAGGTAAAAGCCAAACAGGAGCATTTCAGTAAGTGTATGCTATTAAGCATTCCATTGATTGCAAGTGACTGAAAAATAGACTGACTCTTGCTTACTTCTTAACATGAAATAGTTTAGTTACTCAATAGGTCACTGAAGAAAGAACGAGTGGATAAAGGATTATTTATTTATTATTATTTACTTTTCCCTTGGGTTCATAGTGGAACATAGGGCTTCAACTGCACGTCTTCACTTGCTTCTGTCTTCTGCTCTACTTTTTCACCTGCATCCATGTTAATCCATACTGTTTCAACTCTTCTTCACACGATCTCCTCCATGTCACCCTTGGACGTCCCACTCGCCGCTTCCCTTTCGGGTTCCACTCGAGCATTGGCCTGACGCGCGATGTCACCCAGTGGCCTCCGCAGCCAGTGAGTGTCCAATCCATCAATCTCCACTTTCTCCTGCATATTTGTTAAACAATTGGTTCTTGTCTTGTTCGTTCACATAGTTTCTTGTTGGTGATTCTTTCCGGCCCTCTGATCTTCAGTATAGAGCCAGCGAAGACAGTTGTTGTTGATAAAGGTCTGCAGCAGGCTGTTGGAAATGTTCTTTGTGACACACTGGCCAACTTTCTGATCCATCCGTATAGAAGAAGTGACCCACTTGACGTTTGTATTGAAAATCCGAATTTTGTTGTTGATGCAGGCTGAGTGACGAAGATTTCCAGATTGGTTTCAGGTTGATGAATGTGTTTCTCACCTTCCAGATTATCGATTTGACATCCTCGTCCGTTCCTCCTGTAGTTGGGACAATGCTCGCTATATAAGTGAATGAAGTAACCTCCTTCAAATCCCCCTCCGTCTTGTCTATGTTCACCTGGAGTCCTGTCTTCTCTGGCTGCTTGTTCGACCAGTTTGTCGGTTTTCGCTTGTAAGTCTTCGATTTTGTGTCACATCAAACATATATCATCCACACGCGAAATCCAGGTCTTCTAGGTTTTTCACGTCTGTCCAGGATATCCCTGTCTTCTCGTTTCCTACTGTCTGACGCATAATCCAGTCCACCACAATTAGGAATATCATTGGTGATAATAAGCACCCTTGTCTGACTCCTGTGTTTACTCCAAAAGCCTCGCCGAGTTTTCCGTTGTGTATGTTTAAATGTATTGACGACCTTTTCACTGTAATTACTCATCAAATAAAACATAGATATGTTGTCTTCATTTATTCTCTTCAACTGACAGATTCAAACTGTAAAGAAACAAGAAATCCTTAATGTTCAGAAGCGTTTCATCATGTCAGGTGAAGAATTTAATGAGAAAACTGCTGCCTTACTGAAGCCAGCTGAACTACCAAAGGAAATGAATATTGAGGTAAGATTAAATACATGTATATACATACATATATGTTGAATTAGTCTGTTGCTCATGCTCAAACTGAAAGTTTTAGTAACGCTGTAGTATTTTAAGACAGTAGCTACAAGACAGAAGCTGGAGCTGCCGATTAATACTGCACTGATAACGTCCTAAATTCCCTTCAGTCATGGAATAGTTCGGTTATCTTAGGTATGATGATAGTGATGATGAACGAATATTTTGTTTGATTTGTTAGAGGATTTCATCATGAGATGTCATCAGTTAGAGAACCATTGTGTAAAACCTGCAGGGAGTACTGGACAGTTGTTTCATCAGCCCAATTTAGGACTCATCATCGGTACGCATCCACCGCCAGGGTCCGAATCCAGTGCCTCCTGGTTACAAGGCTAGCTAGCTCGTAGACCATTAAGCCACTGGTTTTCTAACTGATGTCAGCTCATGATGAAATTCTCCAACAAATCTCACATATCAATGAGATGCTCACTAGCGACCGGCCCTATTTCGGTAGGTAGTTACCTAGGGTTCTAGTGAGAAGTTGTGACCAGTAGGGTGCAGCAGGTCGGGTGTGAGGACAAATACTCGCCGAAGACATTGGCTAGGGGTCGCGCTATGTGGTGAATTGGCAGAAGTTAGAATTCATGGGCCACTGGATCGGGTCCCAGTGACTTAATGGTATACGAGCTCGCTAGCCTTGTAACTAGAAGGTCCTGGGTTCGAACCCCGATGGGTGCGTGCTGATGAAGGGTCTCAAACTAGAACGAAACAGCTGGCTGTCCAGTACTCCCAGGTTTTCCAATGGTTCTCTAACTAATGTCAGCTCATGATGAAAATCCTGTAACCAATCAATTCCCTACAAACCAACACTTGAAAATCTCACATATGTTTGTTTGCATTTTTAATTTAGAAGGGAGGTAAGTGAAATTCTTTTTGCCTGAGATGAAGTTCACTTCTGATCAATGACTTTATTCCCATTACCCATCAGCTGACCTGCTAAACCGGTTATTCAACGACAAATACTCGAAGTAATGTAACTTTAGACTAATTTACCTCATTTATTATGTGTCTGATTATGTAAATGCATAAAGTAATGATTACTTCCATGGGAGTGACCTGAAATATTTTGCTTTGACGATATTTTGTGTGAGTAAAGTGGAGTCATTGATGAGAAAATTTTCAGTTCTGTTATTGTATCTATATACGGATTCTATAGAGAAATCTCAAGCATTGTCGGGTTAGTGATATGATTTTCTCTGCTGAAGTATTTATTTGCAAGCGAATGCATAATGAACTGAGGCTGTCGAAGGAAAGAACGAATGTATAATTAAATGGGAGTCATATTAAAATTCTTTCCCTG